GCGGAGAAGGCACCTGGACAGTGAGTGACACACATGGGATGCTTGTGTCAAACTCGGTATAGGGCCCTACAAAACCAAGGGTGGGGTGTTATTTGGAGAATTTTTGGCACTTCGTTTGGGACTTATTTTTGTGCGGTCGTGGTTTCTCTATAGTTTCTCCAGTGGAAGTACACAACTAGCTGGAGACCATGTTCCATGTCCAGCAGCGTGATTATTTCAGGGCGTCTAACTAGGGCCTGTGTGCTAAAAAGCACTAATCAACTGCACCACAAAGCGAAACAGGGCGAACAAACATGAGAGAAGTGCATCAGAATCAGAATCAAGAAGGGAGTAGAGAATGAAAGAGTTCTGTTCATATGCCTTGGGTTGTTCCTTGGGTTGAATTGAAACAAGACACAACAACCAACAGAGCAGAAAACAAACAAGAAGAGTAGGGAAAAGTATACAAAGCCAGAAAAGCAGGAATAAAGCAACTATAAAGTAAAAAGCAACGGCAGCAAAGGCCATGCAGGGAAACAATACGCCACAAAAGGGAAAGAAGCAGGAAAGTAAAGAACATGAAAAGCAGGGGAAAAGCCAGGAAGTGCAAGACAAGCACAAAAGAAGCAGGAAAAGCTAAAGAAGCAGAAGAAATCACAGAGAAGCAATGAAAAGCAATGGCAAAGCAAGACGAGCGCAAAAATGCAGCAAAAGCAAGAAAAGCAGGAGAAACCACAGGAGAAGCAATGAAAAGCAAGGAAAAGCGAGAAAAGGCACAAGAAGCAAGAAAAGCTGGCGAAATCATTGCGAAGCAATGAAAATCCAAAAAGCAACAAGAATGAAAATCCCCTAAACGGAACACTAAAAAGCTGAAAAAATAGCCCTCCCAAAACCATTATAGGTGGTCTTAGGTGATGGGCGTAAAAGGAGCCTGTTACTGCCCCACTGGAACCATCTCACATGGCTTGTGTTTGAGGGGCCCCTGTCCAACTCCATGCCTTGGGCTTCTGGCTGTGCCCCCTCCTTCAATGCGGCCTGCAGAGTCTCGAAAACGACCCGAGCGAGACACAAGAAATGATCGGGTGTGACCACTGCAAGTCTTGTTTGCAGGGATTTTGCCGGATTCTGCACAATCCTCTTGCTATGTCAAACTTCTGGATATCATGGAAGAAAAGGAGGCTTATATAGACTTGCGGCCGAAGAACACCTGCAAGAAAACCTGCTCGTTTGCCCCTCTCCCGCTTCAATAGGTCCACCGGAGGCGAAAGGAGGGAAGAAAAAAGGGGTGACCCCCAATCACTCCCAATTTTTAGGGTTTGGTGGTGCAAAGGCTCAGTGTCACCAAACATGCCTCAAAAGTGGTCGGTTTTCTGTCATCGCTTTCTGAAGACAGCCGCTTGTGGCAATCTTCTGCAAAAGGACCTCATCTGCTCAGCCACCATGTGCACCATCTCTCATCCATGCTTGCAAAGTCATGCCACACTTCCACTAATTCATGCCAAATCTTTGGCACCCCCTGGCCTTTGGACCTTTCTTCCTCTCGCTGCCCTTCTTCGGCACCTGTGGGAGAGCGCCGAAGATGGTTGGATCCCAGGAGGCCACATGAGCCATCTTCCAAACCAATGGAGAAAGGTCGTGATGAATGTCAAACTGCACCCACCCCACAAGAAGAACTCTGGAAAAGGCGCATGACATTCAAACATGTTTTATGAAATGAGTGTTCCTGAAAAGTTCCTGACTGTTTTGCATCAGGGAAGCTGCTTTCTTCTAGATTCCTGGATGATGATGACAATGGGACAAGGATCAGAATGTTGCCTGCCATTACTCATGTAAGAATCCGACTTTTCAGACAACAGACCCGAATGTCAGCCCACTTCAGCCCAAACAGGCTCGATCTTTCGCCTTCACCTCACTGGGCCGCTTCGTCCTGCCTCACATGACGTGTCGGAACTGGGCGACAGCGTCTCCCTCGTCTCCCACGGAGCGACCGGTCATCTCCGGTCGCCTGGTCGGAAGGAAAGCGAAGCTTCGATGGCCTGGGTTTCGATTCAATGGACCAAACCCTAAAACATTACTAGTAGCTTCTTGTTACAAGTAGCGATGGCCTCCAACCTACTTGCGATGGCCTCCACCTAGTAGCTTCTGTGCTACTAGTAGGGGGGGAAAATAAAACAAAGAAAACCTGGCTGTCAGAAGGATCTTGAACAAAAGGACACCGACCTTCGAGAAGAAAAACTCTAATATCTCCGAAACATCTTTTGCGCCATTCTTCGCGTTTGTATCAAGAACCGAAAGAACAATGATGCCCAGTTGAGTCGGATGAGTGGGTGGATCCAAATATCTGTCGAAAGTCTAAGGGCTTGGCTGGGTCCGAGATCGTAGGGTGCCTTTTCCTTCATGTTACCACTCCCAAAAAAAGATCACGGATCGTTCATGTCTCATGTCCTTTTGCTGCAAAGATTCTCTGACTGGTCTTCTCCACCTTCTTTTTGATATTTCCTTTCTTGACCACGAGGCCTTCCACGAGGCCTTCTCCGGAGGCCTTTGCCGCTGATCTCAAATCCTTTGGACGGATCTGCTTTGATCTCGAGGATTGCGAGGACGGAACTCGTCCTGGGGGTCTTGGGAAGACTCGTCTTTTGTGGGACATACCCAAATGGCCCAAACGGCCGTCGTGTCTGGAAACTGCACACAACCGAAAACAGTGTGCTGGAAACAGCACCACCTGCAGCGCTGTTTAGTTGCAGTGCTGTTTTGTGTCTGTGCCACTTATACGGGGAAACTTCAGGGAAGAACTTGCGAGAGGCCCGAAAATTGTAAAGTTACATTTTCCTATGCGGAGGGCCTCAAAAAATACAATTACATTAACTTTGAGGTGGCCTCAAAAAAACTAACTTACAATTTTTGAGGCCTCACAGGTGATTTCCTGGGACATGATCTCAAACATGTAAGTAACTTTTTGGAGGCACGGTGGGGCGCTTACATTTTTTGACCCCCCTATTGCATCAACAAAGAACAGGAAACACAACCAGAGCAAACTGTCAAGAAACAGGAACATACAGTCATTCATGTTCCCACTCAAGACCCCAAAGGAAGGCAACAAAGCGAAACCCAAACATAACAGAGGATCATCCACATGCTACACAACAAAGGAGAGGTCATTCTAATCTCGCACAGCTGCCGGTTCTATTGTGCAGGAGAACAAGGATATTCAATGCTGTTTGATCCCTTGGTTGCTTGCCCCCTGCTTGCGCTTCGTGGAGTCGCTTGTGTGTGATTTTCAGTATGCTAAAATGTAATTAACTCAGGGGGACACCCCAGTTCCTTGTAAATTCTGGGGGAGTTGGGCGTGTGGCAAAAATGTAAGTTACAATTTGTGAGGTCAAACTTTCTCACATAAACCAGGTATTCCCTGCAAAATCTGAGGGTTTGGATGCGTGGACTAATTGTAAGTTACAATTTTTGACGTCTGCAAATCTCACCTTTGGCCTGCATCCGGTAGGCAACGCACAGGTTGGGGGGGCCGGGGGGGTTAAAAAGATGTAAGTTCAGGCCTGCCAGGTTGCAAGTGTCATTCTCCAGACCCCCCCGGCCCTTTGATCTGCCGACGCACCCTGGGGTGGTAAAATGTAAGTAAGCACGTGCCACAAGTTACATTTTTTGAGGAACGCCCCCTCCCCCCCTTTACCCGTTTCGATGGTGCCGGGGGGGGGGAAGTTACATTTTTAGACCCCCTAGGGGCCCACCCTAAATGTAACTTACTTTTTTGAGGTCCCCGCTTCCGGAAATAGCTTAAGGGGGTAGGGATGATATTTCCTTTCTTGACCACGAGGCCTTCTCCGGAGGCCTTTGCCGCTGATCTCGAATCCTTTGGACGGATCTGCTTTGATCTCGAGGATTGCGAGGACGGAACTCGTCCTGGGGGTCTTGGGAAGACTCGTCGTCTTTTGTGGGACATACCTAAACGGCCCAAACGGCCGTCGTGTCTGGAAACTGCACACAACCGAAAACAGTGTGCTGGAAACAGCACCACCTGCAGCGCTGTTTAGTGTCTATGCCACTCACACGGGGACCCCCAACTTGCGAGAGGCCCGAAAATGGCGCTGTGGGGAGATGTGGGGAAGCAAGTTTATCCGGAGAGATTGAAACCAAATGCCAAGTTTCCTCACGGGTTCTGCCAAGGAAACGGGAATCACCGGTGGGCTCAGCCCTTGCTCAAGGCCGGACAGAGAAGCATCAATGCCAACCGCGCAAAAGACCAAACTTCGTGGGTACCGTTGTACCGCGTACGCAGCGTACGCAGCAAATTGATGCATCAGATCCGAAGAGAAGAGCCTGACACCAATCTGATCCTCTCTCTCTCGCTCTCTCACACTCTATCAGTGTAGCCCCAAAAATGAAAGGCGAGGCAGCTAAGTGGGATCTTTATGAGTTTTTGGACCAGGGCCAAACCCAAACCAGTCCTGGCTTTTTGAGTCCTCCTTTGCCGTCAATGACCTCTTCCTCGGTCAAGCAGGTGGAAGAATCTGGCGATGCAAAAGGCCCATCAGACTGGGACCGACCTCTATGAGCCGACCTCTATGATTCTGACATGCTTGCAGGAAGTGGACAGTGTTAAACTTCATCACAGAAAGGAAGAGTCGCTTCTCACCAACCAAAGAAATCTTCTCAGCAGCGACCTCCAAAAAATTAAACAAATACCTGAGACCAGACTGAAAGGGGCAAAGACTTTGTTGATCTTTGTTGTGACTGCAGGGGCTTCGGCCGTGCAGGGGCTTCGGCCACGCAGGGGCTTCCTTCAGACCCCAACCCCAACCGACCCCTGTCTGGTGCCGTGCGTGGTGGAAGACAGACGTCTCGCGCAGGCGCGACCCCCACACGGTCCGTGCCGATCCTCCGCCTAGCACCGTCAGGTACCAGAATGGGGTAGACACCGTAGACACCACACGGTGAAAATTCCGAGGAGAATCCAAGGTATGTCTTGTAAACATCATGTCATAGACTTTTGATAAAAGTAAAAACATATGCAAAGCTTTTTGAATCCAATTGAGATTTTTTATTGATCAAGAGTCTACATTAGGGGTCGTCCTTCAAGAGTCACCCCTGAAGCTGAAGAATAAAGTGATGAGATTCTTTGATGTCTTTGCCCAAGTCAACAAAAAACAAACTATGTAGTTGATGAAATCAAGAAAATCAACCTGCCGTATGAGGGACCTCGTTTGCGCGGTCCCTATTTGCGGGGCCCCCGACACCTGCGACTGTGAGTGCCTCTTCCTGAAAGCACACCAGGAGGCCCAAACAAATAGTCGCCCAACATGCGAACACATGGGCAAACGTCTCTATGTGATACCAACATCCGCCAAGCTGGCGGGCTTGTGCTCAACTTCACCCACTTTCAACCAGCAAGTCTTGTTGTGAAGTTGTGACCTCCCCTCATATTGACACCATTCATCATCCTTCTTCCAAGAGCAGCCATCGAGTTCAGCTGTGGAGCTAGTGTTGTCGCACAAGAACAAGAATCCAACAGACTCCAGGGCAAATGCACAGCCAAACAACCCTTCACCTCCCTCGCCCTGGCCAGGTTGAAGAGGAATCCATGGAGTGCCCCAAAATAACAAGCCAAAGAAAGAAGCTCATGCCTGGTCTCGCAAAGTATGTTGGAACCTGGTTCTCATCTGAGTAGGAATCTCTTTATAGAGGATCTATGACACCATGAGGTGCTTTTTCCGACATTCCTTGCACCATTCTCAGGTAACCCAAGTGACCCAAACTGAGCCCTCGGAACCGCCGGATCCATACCTGACCGTCTCTTCCTCTCAAAAACAGGTCCTCCATTCCAGGCATTGCTTTCAGGTCGGACGTCAAGACCTTGCTCGGGCAAATGCCATTTTCAACCATTCAGATTTGGAGTCCAAACTGGTGACTTTCTCGGGGAAGGCCTCCAACTGAAGGCCTCCAAGCTGCGGGAAGTTGATGAGTGGATTCCAGTGGTAGATTCACCCACGTGGTTTGCTTTTCATTCACCCACAAACGATGCGAAAGCTCCATCCGAGTTCCATGGCTCTATGGCTACATTGGTGTTTGCTCGACTTGTGGGGTTTGTGAGGGAATTGACCCCCACGGGTCCACTGTTTCAGGGAAGATTCCCCAGTTTCGTTTGGCATCATCACCCGAGTTTAATAGACACCCATCTACAATCAACATGATCGACCATCGATCAATCCTCACTGGCACAGCAATTCATCAGCATCCCTGCAATCCTTCATCCGGAACTAACAAACCCACTACGCATCACTACCCTAGTCGTTTCTGCTCATCTCAGGATGTCTCCGTGGCCATGAAAATCTTGAGGACCAACGCAAAACGATGCAAAACTGACGTCTTTGTGGATGAGCCTCTAAATCCATCGGTGGCCTCTACTTGTCCTGTTTGGCCTTCGTCTTCCGAGCATCAAACATGGGATGTTGAAGTGAGTAATTGGTTTTTGTCCAATGCGTTCAGAGAACATGACTTAGATAGCACAAACTCCGACCATTTCACAATCCTCAAGCACTTCTTGCCTTTGCCACGCCATGAAGCCACCGGACACGTGACGGAAGCCCAAAATGGGTGCATGTCTGGTCCATGTGATTCTGGTCAGCTTACCTTGGAGTCCGATTCTGATCCACATGAGGTGCCCCTAAACAGGTCGGCTGTGAGCTTGGGGTGCATCGCAAAGGGAAGGATGAAGCGGAGCGGCGGGTTGGAGCCTCCCCCCTTGCAGATTGGAGGTCTTGAAGAGTTCTGTGAGGAATGCAGCTGGGGAATTTAGAAATGTGTCCTGTGAAACGCATGACCAAAGGGTCCAACCAGGTGGAAATGATGGAACTTGGACTTGGTCATCAACCAGAAACTTTTGATTCGCTGAATTTCATTGACCATGGGCTCCAGCAAGACAAGCCTGCTGTGCAGGCATAGTAGCGACCATGAGTCCGTGTAAGACCAACATTCCGACTCACTTGCATGGTTTCTCACCCAGCAAACTCCCTTCAAAACGATGACATGGGTCTTCAGCTGTCATTGTTTACGCAAGTTGCTTAGGCGGAGGACAACAAAAGAAAGCACGAGTTCTCGAATCATCCCCGCTTTTACTCTCAACGAAAAATATCCAGTCGCTTTTGCACATGCGACCTCGGCATCAGAAACGATTACTTTCCAACATGTTTTTTTCATATTATGTGCCCTTCCCAAACAGCTGGAGACGATAGGAATATAATTACACACACAAAGTAATGTTCAAACTGTTTGCTGTCTATGCTGGCAAATTTAGTGACGTGGCCTGACCCCACCACGCCCTTTCAGAGGAATAAACATGGCAGGTTGGGGAGATTTGCAGTTTTTGCATTGATTAAAGGTGTGCAACCATTAACCATCAAGTGACACACTGACTCAGATTGAAATGACGCACTTGTGGTTGGGCTGCAGTTGGATTTTTGGGGGTACAAGATTGAACAGTTCGGTTGAACGTGGACAGTGATCATTTTTCCCCCAATGCGTGCATTGCGGACGGCGCCGCGCATCGCCAAATGGGTAGTAAACTCCACAAGGTGAAGCATGCAAGTGAAACAAAAAATGTCTGCACAGCGCAGGTCCGGCTCTTGGTACAACTCACGCAGAACATTGGAAGCAGGGAGTTCTTGTGTCACTTTTTGCAAGAATATCTTTTGAGCAGTTCGACATGGTTCAATCCTCTGTCAAGTGCGCAGTGAAGGAATGGCATGGAACCTTGGAATGAACCATGTTCTCTGCGATTGCACTGTACTGACAATGGCCAGGTCAAGGCGACACGAAAATCAAAGAGAAGAGCCAACACTGCAACTAAGCCTCATGCACGCAAGGATGGTGCTGCAAAATCGAAGCAAAGTTGAAGCCAAAAAACAAAAATCAAAAGGAATCTCCAAACCGATGCAAAACATGCTGAATTGTTCTCAACAACGCGCACGACGTTTCAACTCAACAGTCTTCCCACTCAACTCGCACTTGAATCGAACACGGTCAAACTCGAAAATGACTTGATGGAACTGGGAACCTGCGCATAAACTCGAAAAAAACGCAACACTTTTCAGTTGAGCAAGATAAAGAACCCTTCAAAGCCCACATGCGGATCACATCCAACATTGAAAAAACCACATGGTGAAACAACTGCCCCTTCGCCAGGTTGGCCCGCCGGTCCCTCCTTCAAGGACACGTCCTTCCAACTACAGTTCCCTTGACACGAGAGGTTCAAGCTCCCCGAGGCCACACAAAAAAAAATAAAACTGAGCCGGAAAAACACTTTTGACAAAGATTTCACTTCAAAAAGATGTGCAGATCCACGTCACCAAAACGGCCTGCCACGGACGGAAACGAAAGAAAACGCGCCCGATGCCCAAATTTCCGTTTGTGTGAAAACACGGTCACGCAAGCGTCCCTTTTCAATCCCACTCCTTGAGCCAGTCGGTTCAGACACTGCCTCCAAACACTCTCAAGCGATCTCAAACAACACACGGCCCCAACAGAAGCTTTCTAAAGGCACACTTCTGCAGCAAAATGCTTTTTGGGCATGTCCATCTCTTGTCAAGAGAAATCCCATTCCTGGCTGTCTCTTTTTTTTGCACGGGTGGAGACGCCATGTGTGCAGAGAATGCACAGGTCATCTTGTGCTACTTGAAGGTGAGTCTCCGGCCAGGCTGAGAAAACAAGCCCAACAACCAAACCAAACAAAGCACCAAAGCCTGGCAACCCTCGACTCATCGGATCATGCAAGGGTGAAACAAAATTGAGAAAAGGTGAAACGAAAGGGCCATCAAATTACGCAAAACGGACTCTCAGTACTCTTTGTGCATGCCTCGATATTCAAAGTTCTTGCAGCGGGCATGCGAAGTGTTGCGAAACGTTGTATTGCCTTTGCAGTTCCCTTTGCACATGGTACTGTGCCTGGATATCCAGGCTTCGTCTCAATGGGTGCCTCATTGCTGAAGAGGCTTGGGCAACCAACATGCAGGTTCATCGCTTGCGCGTGCGAATGGTAGGCAGGCATGATTTGGAAAACCACTGCAGGGAGGAGCCCAATTGCTCCAAACAAAAGGGGTTCCTAGTTTCCAGCAGTGCTGCCTGCTGATGGTGAGTGTTAACCCGTGCCAAACAAGATAAATAACCACAGAGACAGTGACTAAGGTTCTGTCCCAGTTCCCTGCCGCCAGTTTCCTGTACCAAGTCCCCTGTCCCCAGTTCCCTGTCCACAGTTCCCTGCCGCAAGTTCCTGTCTCCAACTCCCTGCCACCCCACCAGTAAACAGGAAGAGCTTGGGTACCTCCAAGTACAGCACACACAAAGAGCAGAGTCTTGCACATCACACCCTGTCGCTGTCTGCACTAAATAGTACACCACAAATATCGTGTGCAATTGTATAGGCCTGCTTTTGTAGACACTCTTACGAGATAAGACCGACTGACATCGAACTGGCAGGACAAGACACTCCGGTCAAGAAAACCTGCAGTCTATCAGAATGAAATTCGGCACAACTCACACGAGAGAGCGAGACAGTGGTCTTTAAACAAAAGACCTTGTGAAATGACTGCAAGTCGAAGGTCACCACAGATACTCTGAGCAATGAGATTGAAGGCTTACTTGTTCAACATCACCCAAAGGTCCCTGTGATGTTGTCGTAAGAACACAACTAAGCTCATCCTCCCCTATTACAAACAAATTGCCAGTGTGTTGGTCAGTGCGAATCATGCTAGGAAATCGACAGACAAAATAGATCTGATGCGATTCAGAGACACGAAGGCGTATGTGCTGCCTAAGACACCCTTGTGACTCAAATGATGCAAAAAGATCGTCACAGATGGCTTGCGTGGCCAAGCATGTTGGGCAAACCTTGTGCAAGTCAGGGGCCTTGCATTGGACATGCAGTCCAGGTTGCCATTGCTTCGTGCTGGGTCCAAGCTCTTCTCATGGGCTTATTTCGGATTCGAGAAACTTTCTATACTCAATGCCCGCCAGTTGGACTTGTCTCGAGATTCAGATGTTGAGGGAGAGGGATCTGACCCTGCTCCTTTGATCCCGAAGGAGCTGACTTGAAGACAGAAAGCCTTCTGGATTTGCTCACGTGGGCGGTCAACCGCCATGCGAATATGAGTTCCAGTTTGAGCAAGATGGCAGGCCATGTGGAAGAAGGCATGAACAAGACCCGAGAAGACCTGGACGGGACGGTGAATTGCAGAAACAATATGATAGTCTGATGAGGACGAGAGGCCTTGCCTTGGCTGATAAGTTGCAGGATTTGACTCCGGGATGGGGAGTGGTCAAGGAATTGGCTTGCAACGTCAGTGACCTGCGCTGGCAACTGCCAGGGAGCGGAAAGCAGTCGAATACCAGCACGAAGGAATCCATGATCGTGCTTGGAAAGTTGGTCACTGACCTGAGTGAGGTTTCTCGCAATCACGCTGTTATCCTGAAATAATTGAATGCGAATGCCAAGGAGACAAATCAGCATTGCAAGGAAGGCGAATCAGCTGCCCAACAAATTGATTGAGGCAGTATCCACTGGTGGCCACACCTTTGACCGCAACACCGCCGGCACAGGTGGCCTCGCCTCCATACCACCAGCGCTCCACTTGGCTCTGGAAGCTGAGCCCATGTTGGCTGGATTCAAACGAGTGAAGCTGTCAGATGGGAGCTGCAGGCACTCATTTGTCGCACATTCCGTCCATGGTAAATGGACCTAGAGGAAGACTTAATGTTGGTAAGCGACGCACTTGCTGCTCCCCTCGCTGACATCTTTGCCTTTCTGGCGCAAGGCCACCCACAATGTGCCTTTGTCGACCAGGCACGCCTAGCACTCTATGCCAATCATCAATTCTGGCAACATGGCCTGCTTGCGTTCTGTGCAGTGTGCTGTGTCGGCAACATCAACAAGTTGCGGCGTACGGCAGAGGCAAGTGCCAACCCTCCCAATCAGGCGAGCTACCCAGTAGGGGAAGACAATGTTCTCACACTTATGCAAACAGTCATCATGTCCTTCCACAGGGGAATGACTCATGGGCAGCAGAAGCTCCCTGTAAATGACATATGTCTACTTCCCAGCGCAAATACTCCAGAGTCTTATCCAGTCAATTGAAAACAATCAGTTCCGAACTGCAGATCTGAACAATGGATTGGGCTACCGCACGACCAAAGACCACTTAGACGACAATCCTCACCTAGTGGTGGGGGCATATCGAAAAACGTTCAACTACGCAGGCAATCCGGGAATGTCTGACACGCAATGGGCTGCTAGGGCCTTCGAATCGAGAGCAATGGATCCTTCGCTTGGGCAGTCGATGGCATTTCCCACAGCTGCCAAGATGCTCCTTCGAATAGAAGTCCCCCTGTGGCCTGATGTCAAGGTAGCCAAACACCCCACCAGAGGATTATACAAGTGCTTCAGAGGCCGAATCAAGCATCACAGGCACAAGAGAGCCATCTCCAAGATATGCAGAACCAGTGCCTAACATAAGAGCGGAAGAGGAACATCAGCCGGATGAGCCGCCCTCCGAGAACGACACTGAGCCAACGTATACAGTCCCGCAGGGAAATGGACGGTTTGAATTTAGAAACACTAGATTGGCCAATGCGGCGACAACTTCGAGAAAGGTAGTGCTCTGGCGGAGAGTAAAATAATTTCCAACTGGCTTACCACAGGACTGGAAATTGCTGTGTCGCATGTGGTTCCTTCTTTCGTCCAGGCAAGAGCTCACGCTTCTGAACTTTTTTTGCACGGTGTGCACAGGTCATCAGTTTAGAAGTGGAAACGCTGAAGATGAGGCCAAGAGGCAACCAAACGCAAAAAGGACAAAACCCAGCACCCAAACACAAACCAAAAACCAACAAAAACCCAACAAACAAAGGCCTCATCCAGAGTTTCGATCTGTACATGGAAAAGAGGGTGAGACTTGAGTTGGCACAAATCTGCTCGGACCTTGAATTCTCTCATCGTCTCAGGTCATCTGCTGCGTGTTCTTGCTGGTTGACAGTGCATTGCAGGCTTCGTACGGACCAGCCTGTTCGAAAGCGCAGGCCCCCAGCGTGTTCAAGAGGTTCTCCAACTTTTTTTCCACGAGTACGGACGCCGTGTGGGCATGGTGCCCAGGTCATCATTGAAGGAAGGGAAATACAATCAGATGGTGGAGAAAAGGACAAAGACACCCCAAAAACAAACCAAACACAACCAACCGCAGCCCACAGGCCGAGACTCCACCATCAAGTAGTATTTCCTCTGTACGAGGGTGAAACAAGTGAGACGAAAAACTGCTGACTATCTATGGGCCTGAATTCACGAAAGAAGAGCATGGCAGCGAGGGTTTGTGCTCTAGCAAAATCGCAAAGAAGTCGTCAAATGGACTTCACATCCCTCTTACCAGTGACCAGCGGCCACTGTACAGAGTGGCAAAACATGGTCACAATGCAAGTTCCGGGCATTGGTATTCTCTAACGCAGGTCTGATCCTTGCCTAAGTGGATCAGCGGTTGCTATGCAGATCATGCCGTGGAAAAGTCCTTTCTTGTAGCACAACCCATGCAACTGGTTGCACATGCAAGGCAAGAGGCATAGTAGTTGGTGGTGTTCAGGCAGTGGCGGCCATAGCAAACAACGAAAACCTGCAAGTAAGGGTGCGAAAGGTTTACCCCCCA